AGTTTTGTTCCGAATTCTCGCAGGTTGACATTGAAAGAAAGTTAACATTAAAAAAATAAAATTCATAATTAAATACCGTTACTTTTGCCCCACACCTAAGTTAATACTAGTACACTCATGAACCGATGCTTTCAATTTTCCCTTTCTAAATTTTTGTTTATTGATATGGACGATCATCCCTTGCGATTGAATAGTACTGTCTGTCATTCCATTTTTTAGTAGTTTGATGGTCCGTGTATGGTTGTAATGGACTAAATAAAATGCTCGAAAATACAGGAAAGTGTGAGATTTGACTGCCCAACGTCTGTCTGATTATTTAGAATATCTCGGGCACCGTCAGCTGTCTCCCGGATTGCGAGTGTAAGTATTTTAGGTTTTCTGATTCAGATGTAGTTAGTAATAAATTTCAATGACGTCACAAGATTCACGCATTCTGATTAGTCTCAACAATGATCTGAACTTACTTTTCTATTATATTTTCTATCTTTAATCTAATTTTATTTCAAAAGATTTTTGTTTGTATATTACCTTTAAATATAGCAAGCATTGTTCAAAACACCGTGCTACATTGCGATCACCAAATATATAGCACCATTCCTAGTCATAATAATATACATAGCTATAAAATATTTTTATTGCTTCATTGACGCATAAATTATAGCCTATGATGTGACCTGTGTATGAAGCTGCTCTTTGAGTTGAAAAAAAATTAAAAATCGATCCAGCAGTTTCTTAGTATGTTCAATGCAAACAAAAAAAGTCTCTGACTATCTAAGATTCTGACTCGCGCTTATATTTATATTTAAAAAGAAATATGATAATATTAATTACAAATGTATGTCTAGCCAAATGTCATAAAGTCAACAAAACTTTTATTCCCATGGGAATCTAGAATTATGCATTTTGAGAAATAAATGACTGTATCATTTTCTTATGGTAATTTAGATGTTTCAGTCAACACACGGTCTACACTACTTTGTGAAAACAAAGTAGATTAGACCGTGTGTTGACCTGAGTATCCCGTTTCCGAATGCATGTACAAATTCATAGGAGGATTTGTAATTCTTGATAGCTCGCAATAGAGGCATTATGCTGGTTTCCATGCTCACGTTAGAATGTGGAAAAACTGACAGCCCCTTGATCCAACTTAGGGCAATGCATTATGGAAAAAAGATACATGACAATAGTAATGCCAGAATCGTCCATTAGGCAAATTTTCCTAATGTTCACGTAATATTTGCATCTCGATAGAATCTCAACGTCTTGCATTTTGTCATTGTACATACCACCTGAAGTCCAATGTTATTAGTGCTATGTCTTCCTCACAAATCAATGTCGACAGATTTATAATATTGGACTATAAAACGCAAGTAGTGGAGACTCCGTTGAGACGGGATTATTAGGTACGTAAACATTAGCAGTGCTATTAATAAACAAGGTTTAGCGTCAGAGTATATTTACGCTAAAATTACAATTTTATTATTAGTCCAAATTCATATTATACTGGGAATAAGCAAACCTACTGACTTCTAAGAGTAAATATTACTCCCGTAGAACCTCGTACTAGGTTAACCTTTGCTGAGTCTCTGTTTAATAATATTACGTCGTAATTTTGACTAATACTAAGTGCAGTCTCAACGTAAATGTACTCCAACGCTAAGCCTTGTTTTTTAATAACACTGTATCAGAAAAGAGGTCCAGCTCCAGTCTATATTAATATTGCATTATCATCTATATTATATACTCATAGGTATGCAAGCGAAATTTTAAGTCAAGCGAAAAGCAGGAAGTGTAAATAAAGGGAAATACTAAATCGCAAGTTGAATAAAAGCTTATAATTATATACGATCAAGCAAACGATTTTGCGAAATAAAAAAAGTTTTGGTAATTCATAGTGAACTTTCATTATTGTGTTTATTTTTACCGTCCCCACTGCTGCGGCTAAGGCCTTCTCTGTGGCTTGGTATCAAATCAAATAGGCAGAATGGGCCATGTATGACCCACCATGCGGGCTCAGTGCGTACTGTTAATGACTGGAGATGTAGCCGAGATCAACGACTAAACGTGCCTTCCAAAGCACGGAAGCTCTAGTCGGTAGTAATGAATTTTGGATCACCCATCCTACAACCAGGCCTTGTGAAAGTTACTTAATAACCGTAAGCAGACAGAGCGCGCTAACTACTGCGTTATCGAGTACCTCCAGCCGGTATTTATTGTTGCTTCTTTAAATGTGCTTCCTTCCCAAATTTTATTTGACACCGAATGTCTAACGCCTAGCGTAAATTTGATTGTACATTTTATGAACTGACGTGTAAGTTCTATCTTTTTACGTTTATACTAATCAGTGTATAATTGTGTATGCCAAATTAAATAAAAATGCCAGTTTAACTTAAGTACACAATCATTTCGCCAATGTTGCTGAGGAGTGCTCCAAGGTTTCGTTTGGGACCTATCTTGTATTATTTATTTTTCTGCTATGAAACACCTATCATCGATTTAACAAAATATGACTACCTACTTAACACAGGAAGAGGTTATTGTTTCGTAATTTTATATATTTAATGCATAAGCATCTATACCAATACTATTCAAAAGTAATATCCCTATCAGTGTCACATGTAAGACTAAAAGAAAAAATATTAATTCCTTTGTTTTGCTATGTTTTTGTGGCAATAAATAACACTCGTGAACTTCAACTTGGAAAATTTAAACCAATCTAATATTGTGAAATAAGCGATGACTGTCAAAAATAAGGACATAAAGGAAGCACTGTTAAAATCACAATTAAGAAAGTTTATATTTTCTTATATCATTACGTATATATGTAAAATGGTATCAGCAATATGTATTGATTATTTTTTTCTGTCATAACTTATCATCCAAGGAATAGCTACTTTTAAAATGTTTGGCCTTTGGTTAGCTTTACCTATACTGGTAGGATTTTACACGACATTGGTATCTGAAACCACAACCTCATTGATAATTTACTATGTATAACATATTTAGCATTTCAACTTGAGACTCAGAAAACTAGGTACTTTTCAAAAAATAGAAAACTAAGTTAGTACGCAACACTATAAAGGATTTGATAGAGGAATGCAATGGTCTAGCGTATCTTAATATAAACTTCAGTGATATAATTCATCATGAAATGGAGATGTTATTGCAATAAAAATAAAATGATTCTACGGATCAGCTTTTAATAATTCACTTGCCATTATTTTGATTTGATAAGAAATATGTTTTTAGTAATAAGCCGTTTACTAATGATCCTGTTAGTGATCCAAAACTCATAATTTAACTTTAGACAGCAAAGATTTAGTGAAAATGTTCTTAATCTAAATCATTATTTGATCAGGTATATTAACATTCTTCAATTTGTATGAAAAAAATAATAATAATTTGATAAAAAAATGGTCAGTCGCAAAATGTTCAGAAGACTTGTTCAATGTTGATAATTCAGTCCATTGTTAGCTTATTTCATAAAAATTGGCACATGAATTCTCTATCAAGATAATTAAAATACTTTTATTTACTATCATTTTTAAATCATCATCCGACCAAAATAAATTCTCAATTTGACGTTTTCTCTTCTGTCATTATCAGTTTGCTTTAGGCGACCAATTACTTTAGTCTTCTTTTGATAATGAGACGAATTTTGTTTTGAAAGTTATTTCTGTGATTTAACATGTCTATGATATTTTATCTTCTCACTTCCTAGCTGATTACATTCATTTGCTATAAATTGATGAAAATTCAATAGTGCTTTAAATATTTGTATTAAAAACTATGGTTAAAATTATTCTATTGTCGCAAGTGGTGGTTGTCCTAGTTTTCATTAATCCAGGAATTAATGATAACATTCGTGAATTTGGATGTTATCCAAGAGAAACCGTGATACGATCGTTTTCGTAATTATGTCTTTTCTCTAACAAACACTGGGTTGTACTATTTTTGTAACACTATGATGGCAACTCGTATCAAACTTAGCTCTTGAATATCTGGCGTTACATTCCACTGCAAAGCTTTAGAATTTATTTTTTATTTTTTGTACGTATTATTAGCGGTATTGTAGTATGACACCTATATGAGGTATTATTGAAATGCTTGTAAGTATATAGAAATGTTTTAAACGATATTTGTGTGATGTGATGATGTATTTGTTTACATTTTTGTTACAACAATGTGATTTGTTGATTCTGGTACTGAATAAAACAATAAATCACAAATTAATATAGAAAAGTCACAAAATTAAATTCGTTAAGAACAATCTAGTACTTCGGCCAAACATTCTTGTAACCGTGCCGGTTGACAGAGATTTATTGCACTTTTTGTGTCTAGTCGAGCCAGAACGATCGCAGCATCCTAGGAACGAGTGAGAAATGGCATTTCTGCCGACGTTACAAGTAAAGACGTGTGTCGGTATAATCGAAATCTTGTCTCCCACACTATACACTTTTCTGAACATTTGAAAGGTACAACTAGGTATGTCAAATACGAGGCATGTCAACAATCAGACCACATCGATCCTGTCGTCTACAATAGAAACGGTTGCGATGCCAACAGCACGTAATCGAGTCAGTTCTAGCGATCGTAGCACACAGTTTTAGCCAAAGCTCAAAGCGTAGGCGCCTCGCGACCTTGGCGTTGGCCAGCATCGGCATCGGTGGAACAGTAGATAGAAAACGAGACTCGGTGCCATTTTAGGCCACGTCGACGGCCGCGACAGTCGACCGGGTCGAATTTTATTGTCTCCGTAGCCGGTTGCATAACCCAAAGCCGTACCCGGCGACTTCAAAAATATCATGCGCACAGCCGGAGCGACATCGGCGAGAGGTCCTCTCGGCCACCCGTCTTAAGATCATTAACTCGAGGGTAACCCATTTGGACGGGCGCCGTCGCAGACGTTTCGACAGTGTGGATCACCTGGCCGCCGGCCAGCGCGCATTCGGCCGGCGACGCGCGCCGGTCGGCGGGCGGCGAACGAGTGCGGCACTTACACCAGTACACCGCGACGAAGTCCTTATCCTCCAGCACGCGCTCCAACTGTTTCGCTGTGACCTCCTCGATCTGGGGTTCGGTTTTGACGGGGGCGGATTTTCGCGCGGCGGCCGCGGTGAGCAGCAACAACGCCGCTAGGGCCTTCAGCCACCGAGCCATGGCGAGGGCGCGCGCGGACTGACTCCGCGGCGCCCGCCCTGCGCTTGCGCCGCCGCCCGCCCCGCCCGCGTCCCTAGAGCCGCCCGCCGTACATTATACCCGCGCGCATGCGCACGCGCAACGCTTCCGATTTGTTTACATCGGGATGGTCTGCGGCATATTTACACAGCGGAAGTAATTCTTAAAATTATTTTAAAGGTTTCCCCATTCTTTTAAGTCACTACACTCTTAAATGTTTGGACGTGCTCGTTCGTTGAGGATTCGTAACACGCTTTAGTTATAAGCGTTGACACTCTTTTCGTATGTCTGCTTTACAAGCATTTCGTTTCTTTTAAAACACTTCATTTTCTCTATAGTCGAAGTAGGAAGTATTTTTGAGTATTACTAAAAATCTAGTAATTTAAGTGTTTCAAACGGCTTACTATACTTACTTCTTAAGACTTATATTTACATCTTAAGACCACAGTAGGACGGCCAGATGTTAAGGGCAGCAAACATGATAAAACATACAGTTATCAACAAGAAATGACTAATAGTAAATAAAATATTATGTGATAAAAGCTGAATGATGATATACCGGGTACTTGTTGTTGTATCTGCACTTGTTTACCCAAGACATGATCAGTGATGCTTCAGCGTAACTCTGAACATCATGTTTAGGCTTTCACATCTCAATATAAAGCACTGGATGGTCTAACAATTCCTGAGTATACTCTGTGGAATGGCAAAACACGTCTGGTGATTTTTTTTTGCAAGAATTGTTGCTGTTTGTACCTATATGTGAATTCGTATACGAATGTTGCACACTGGTTGTGGAAATTACTAGATAAGAATGATAGTTTCACATATATAGCAACGGACTTCTTCATATTAGTAACTTTTTTCGAATACCTCGCAACTTCGCGTCCAGTATTCTTCATCAGTCCAGCAGTTTCTGAGCCTATTCGATGCAGACAAACCAATTATAAAATATTTCCTCCTTTTAATATTTTTAATTAAAATTCTGGATGCCAGGAAACATATCAGTATCTTCTTTTAAAGTCAACAGTATGCCTATCGGTATAGTGGGCAGGGTAATTTATTAGGGTAGGTATTTTGGTAATTACGAGAAAAATCTAATGATGACATATCAAATCCGCCATGATATGATGTCATTCAGTTTGTAAGCAAACATGAAAAATAAGTTTCAGGAAAGGTCAATACATTTATAGGTTATTTTTTTTAATAATTTAATGGAGAAACAAAGAAAAGGTCATTTTTATTAAAATTATATTATAGAATTGGGTTTTGTAAAGGAAGATCGTACAAATTTACTTTAATAATTCGACTTTTGTTCTGCTGTATTTCAGAATGTTAAAACTCTTACAACTATTTGAATATGACAGAATATGATATAAAGAAAGTGCATAAAAATGTAAGAAAGCAATAGCAACGCGTTTGTTTACGAAACCAATCAGCGTTGCCAGACGTCCCGATTTTCAATCGAAATTAAATGTCCCGCGCGGGACATTTATCTGATCAAGTTCATGAATTATATGACACCACCATTATGATGAGTGAGAAGTCTGTGATTGTGCCGGAATTTAGCATATATTTTCGTTTCCAGTAATTTCATTTTGCTGTTCTGGAATCTTAGAAAATACTTTGAGCCCGGAATTCACAAATATTGTTTTTTTCATGATATTATGATACCTCGATTACTTACCTAAGGCTGCCAAAATAAAGCTAACCAAACTTACCAATATCATCTATTTCTGAACGAAAACTCAAGTGAGGTGCGTAGTGACATTAAGAATCGATTAAATATTTTTACTCATTCAATTGGAGTGTTGAAATTTATCTTCACGTTCCCGAAAAGTTTATTTAAACTAACCTTATAACAAATGAGAAAACTGCTGTATACATTTAATAAACAAGTTGCTGTATAAAAACATAAAGTTTTCGTTATAAGTAGAAAGTATCACTGCAACTTTTTGTCGCCTAAAGGCTAAATATAACACTATTAAAAAGTAAATGTTTTTTTAGAAACGTCATTTTAGTGTAATGACAATTAAACACACATAATGTAATTTAAATTTCGAGTTAAATTTCAGTAATAAATGGTAGTGTCAAGCGTAAGTATATTCTGACAAACTGAATCTACAAAAAAATTCACATTTCTAATTATACAAAAAATCTGACATATACATCAAAAAATTTTAGGATTCAGTATACAATTAAATATAATCTTACACTAGCATTATGTTAGTAAAAAATCAACTGCAACAATAATGTATGTCTGGATTTGATTCTGAAAATGAGATAATGGTTTACCTGTTATAAAAAAAATATACTATTATACAAAAAATAAGATACCCTTTGCAATAAAACAATGGATCTCAAATCTAGATAGTGCTAAAGAAGTTACTTAAATACATCACGTGGTTAATGGACGACCTCTTAGCTTGACATGAGAATCGATATGAAGACATTCAATTGGCTTTAATTTAATGCTTATTACTGCATTATAAATCACTCATTCTAAATCGACCAATAGGAAATGTTGTTTTTCAAATGTCACGCAAGTCACGTGGTGGGGCACTGAAGAACAAAGAAGAATTTCTGAACGATTCGCTAGATTCATGTCGCGCTGTCAACAAATATCTCGTGGCGCGACCGGTCGGCTTGCGTAAAAGTTTACTTCGTGAATGTGATGTGTATTGTGAATAATACAATGCCTACTTATTGATTACTTATTTTAGAGTAATTGGGTATCGTGGATTATTTTTTCATCCTTATTGAAATCGGTAAGTGTTATATTCATATTAAAGTTACGAATTATGAGTTCTCTGTTACTTCTTGCACCTACATTTACCTGTATTTGAATATCATCTTATCGGAAAGTATCCATTCATGCTTGCTTAGTCATATTGCTACGTAGTTTCGAACGTGGAACTAGGAAGAACTTAAAAAGTATACTTTTTAATATGGAATTAATCTATATATTTGTATAAATCTACTAATATAAAATAAATTTCTCTATTCTTTACTATAATAAAAACAATAGTTAACATCTAGTAATTTTTTTAAAATTTGTGTCTCTTATATTTTTAAAATTTCATACAAAAATTAACTTTTAACTTTAACAGAGTTACTAAACTCTGTTAACTTTGCAAATGTTACTTAATTTGAGTCGGTATCACAGCAGTTCTGTTGCTTAAACTTCACAAAATTTAGTTTTAATCCTGTCAAATAACAGTTTAAAAATGTAAATAAATTAGACAACAGAAGTAGTGTCATACTTTATTCTTTGATTATCTTGAATTGAAATCAAAATGCTTAGTTTTGGTTCAACAGAATTCACATTGGATTCTACCTGGTTCTATCTGGCTCTTAGTATTAAAATTATATACCTAATTTCCATTATTTTTCTACAACAGATAGTTTCTCTTGTAACCCGATTTGTTTATTTAATAATTTAAGTTTGAAAATAATGTAATATTTTTAGGGTCTTATAAGTAAAAAAAAAACTTAAGATAAACTGTGTATATTGTTTGGAAATATAAATTAGTAACAATACTTTAAAAATTGGAATAGAATGTGTTAAGAGCTACTTATCAACATTTTTTCTATTTATCTATATAATATTGTCTTATTATATAGATATAATTTTATTAATATTATATAATATATCATTTTTCCCATGTTCATTATGTATGTATATAATAATAATTATGATTTTTCCCATGTTCATTTATGTATGTAACATAAATGAACATGGGAAAAATGTTTACTAATAAACATCTACATGTCTACTTTTTATAATATTTAAAGTAACCTATTAGACCAACTTTTTTTATTGTAACTATATCTTGACTAAATCTTTCATAAAATTTCAAAAGGAAATTACAGATGATTAAATATCTTATCGCTAGGAGATTGATATCTAGTTAAAACCATCGAGATAGGTATTAAATTCGCTTTTTATGTAATTTTTTAAAACTTGCTACAAGTTTGTTTAAACTTATCTGTAACTTTAAAAAAAGTATAGCTATTTATCTTAACAAAGTCTAATTTCACATTATTACCATATCACCCCATCAATAATAACTGATGGGGTGATATGACCATTGTAACAGTGCTGAATATCAAGGACTTGATTAAAACATTGATAGATATCATACAAATAACTGTAAATAAGTATGTAAAAAAAATCCCATTATTATTTGTTCCTAGAGCAGTTAGGTTATAACATGTCAAGTTTCCCCTTATCAATATAAAACTTTAATTTTCATAGGACAAGGATCAAAATTGGTTAAAGAATATTGTCAATTTTATAAAAATTTAATGAGCTGTTGACTATAGAAAAAGCTTTTACAGCGTCAATATTGGTGTTAAACCATTACAATCAAAATTTAGAATATGCATTTTTATTACTTTCAAAGGCCAGTAGTGAGTATGCTGATGTTTATGCTGGTTGCTATTTCTGTTCAATTGTAGAAAAAATCTATTTTTATCTTTAATCTTTGAATGAGGAAGAACTACAATTTTTCCTCATTTCCTTTCGTGTTTGTATACCATATCTACTTTAACAATTAAAAATATCACTTAGTAGTAAAAGAGTTTTATATCTTTATTATCAAAGATTAATCTTGACTTGCAAGTCAAACCAATTGAAGAAGAGTATAGGTACCTATATTAAGTATGTCCATAATTGTTTTATAATCATCTAGATACATATTTCTTTGATCTAAAGCTATTATAGTATTGTAATTTCATTTAATACTAAAAAATGATTTTTGTATAATGAGACAATCAATATAATGGAATTAATAAATGAAAATGAAAATTTTTTTTTTCAAGTAAGCTTATGAATCGTTCAAATTTATTCACTAAACGAGTGGTTCGTTCAGGACTTCATTTGGCTGACAAGAAGAACAAGCGAAATAATGTAGTAACATCCAATATAATGAGTTTAACACAAAGCGATTCAACCCGCGCTAGATCACGTGCGGCAAGGGTGGTCAGTGTGGTCGGTCCGTCGCGCGATCGAAATTGCGAAATTAGAAATACAAGTTAGATCGTCATTTGTTTTATTATAGATCACCAATTCATTATACAGGGGTTCAACAGGAACTTTACTGACCAAATAACAAAAATAAAGGAAAACATTTCGGTTAAGGTTCTGTGAACAACAAACCATCCAAATTTCTCGCTGTTTAGAATAATGAAAGCACTTCTCAACTATATAGCACAAACCATACCTTGAGTGCACGCTTAGACTTGAGCCATACAGAGGATGATAAGAAGTAAACATAATTTGTGCTATTTAATATGAAACAAGAAGGCATACTTATTCATATATTTTAATACTAATATTTTAATTGAGTTCTAAGAAATGAGGTTAAACTCCAGTTATCTGTACAAGATAGTTTCTGCTATCATATCAACGATTTAATCTGTGGACCAGTGATAGTGAGGCTATTGTTCGTAACAATCTGTGGTAGGTACACCATTGTGTTTCGGCGCACAATAAAAATTGCATATCTGTGCTGCGAAACAAGGCTATTTAGTAACAAACCACAACCAAATTGGCCTCAACATACTGAAAATCACATATGTGTGGTATGGCAATTGAAAGTTCTCCTTTTCGAATTATTTTAAAACCGTGGAAGTGTTGCCGTGAGCTTGCTTGTTATTAGCTTATTAACTGCATTTATGTCTTTTTATAGACAGAGGAAATATTCATTTCATGATCCAGACATAGCAAACGGAGGCTGCGTTATATTTGAACATCACAGTCCGGAAAATGCAGATACTCAGATCAAGCAATGATCACTTTCCATGTTTCTAAAATAGCTCTGAAAATGCCAGCTCATATGAGCCCTACCGCCTCTGACCGCATGTCCGGTGCCATTTTCATTGGCATTCCATACAAAATGTATAGAAACCGCAAACAAATTACATGCATAAAGTCGTCTACGTTCACTTTGGCTGAACCATGGTATACCTACGAAATGCATCGAGCGTGACACTGAGTGAAGAGCATTAGCTACGCCAAATTGAGTATCCCATGACCGACTTAGCCAGCTAAATATTCTTTCGCTTACTATTGAATGATTTCTAATGAAACGGCCAAATATGAGGAGAATTAGAAGAGAGGTTTTTTTCCAAAAGTGGACACTGGAAATGAAAATGATTGTTTGATATTTTATTATATTTTCCTTTGTTTTAAGATTTACTTTTCGGCGTTAAAGAATGGCATATCATTGAAATTATGACCATCCCCGGTTCTATTCATAACGTGTGAATTTCAAAGGATTTCTGATGTCAGAGACAAAGCAACGGCCTCCGAGATCATGTGATTTAACACCTCTCGCGTAGTTTTTGTGCGGTTATGTGTATGCGACCAAGTCACTAATGAAAAAAAGTTATTTGTGGTTATATCAAAAATATCTAGTAAGCAAAAAACCGAAATTGAACATTTTCTTTCTTGAGATGTTGGATTGTTGACTTCGTTATCTACACTTCTATTACGAGTACAATAGAAAAATTAAACTATAAAATAAGTATACGGCAAAATGCACCGTGAACGAAGCGTATATCTGATTGTACCTTTTCAATTTATGTTATGAGTAATCAACATATTGCTTATAATAAGTTTATTGCTAACTCGATAGCATCTCATTATCATCAAAATCAATGATAAAACTCCGATTATATTCTTTCTAGAATATTCCATGTTTATTGTTACCTAATTATTAAATGCTTTATTTAATTTGTACCATATTTTGCTTTAATAGAGATGACGTTTACTTTTTGTTTGTATATCCGTCAGGAAGATTATTTGAGAATATTAAAAGCATATTTTTTTGCATTATAAATAAATTACGGCCATACATTTGAATTCAAATGTGGCATGACGTCACACTTTTGTTTATTTTCCACAAAACTGTAACGTAGCAAGCCTATTGTCTAAGCCGTTTCTTGTGAAATTGAAGGAAAAAGAAATACGTATCTTATATTTTTCTATCTAACTGAAGGACCAAATAGATTGTATTTTTTAACTCAGTCAACATCCTTATTAGAACTTAATTTTTAATTTGTACAAGAAGATCAAAACTTCTCATTACAGTGTTCAATAACTTGTAGGTTTCGTTGAAAAATTCCAAATTTTGTGTTATTTGTTTTGTAAAACGCTGATAGTGTGACATAAATAGGTCAACGTTAGAGAAATTTAACTGTTCACATTTCATTGAAGTTGTATAGCTCATACTTTCATAATTATACAAAAAATGTTAGCGTTAAAGATAGACAGAAGTGGACCAAGTTGCAAGTAAAAAGTAGCAGATAGTAATTCACAAATAAAAGGGTGCCCCATTTAAAGGTCCGAAACGTTAACAAAACTAAATTAAACGCGATGAAACCATTTAAAAGTTGTCTAATTTATAGACTTTTTTATGTTTACTTGTCAAATATTTTATAGCTTTTCATTGCAGCAATAATATGTACCGCAGTTAGATAAGACAAAGCGATAACTTCCAATATAGGTACGAGGAAAATGCGATAATCGCTATCATACGTATTGTGTTAATGATACTACGAGAGTCCTTATCATCAGGAGTTCAGTGGTTACGTGTCTGCATACCTGACAACACACAATATGGCTGAATATCGAGCTGGAAAAGCTGGCATCAACGCTGACGCCCAAGCCCGCATCAACAGTAAGTACAACGATGATATTGGGCACGAAATACTTGAGTGGATCAAAGTTCTCACCGGCGAACCGGCCAATACATCTGGCACTGCGGACAACATCTACGAAGTACTTAAAGACGGCACCCTTCTTTGCAAACTCGTCAACGCTATACAAGAGGACTCGGTAAAGAAAATCAACCAGTCCACTATGGCATTCAAATGCATGGAGAACATCAATGCTTTTTTGGAAGCCGCCAAGAAATTGGGCGTCCCTCCGCAAGAAACTTTCCAAACTATCGATCTTTGGGAGAAACAAAATCTGTACTCTGTTTTAATATGCCTACAGTCTTTAGGTAGAAAAGCTGGCAACTACGGCAAACCTTCGATTGGACCTAAAGAAGCTGATAAGAACGTCAGACAATTTTCCGAAGAACAATTAAAATCTGGCCAAAATGTCATATCTCTGCAATATGGAACCAACAAAGGCCAGCAAACAGGCATTTCTTTTGGTAATAGACGTCAAATTTGATTAATTTGTAGTGTGTTATTTTTTTATGCAATAAATGTTCTTTTTTTTTCAATTTTGTAAGAAACTAGTGTGTTTTTTTTTAAAGGATACTATCCTTAAAACTTTATGTGATTATGCAATAAGAACATTGTAAGATACGAAACATGATAAAAATATTTAATCTAAGTTATTGCAAATTTCATCGCCGCATTCATTATCAAAGTTTATTGGTTCCCAAATCAACAATCCGTGCACCATTATCTCTTCAATATAATAAATAGGTGGATATTTTACTTATAATAATAACAAAGTTTTCTTGAGACCTTCGCTGAATGTCGAAGGAACCAACCAAAACACCCCCAGTGGGACACCTAAGCAAAGAATTGCGTCATCGCGCCCCTATTGATCCAACTCATTCGTTTCTAAGCAAATGTTACGACTACGCATTGAAATTGTTTTATAGTAAGTATTATCGACTTTTATACATCGTGACAACACCACAAATGGTTGGACTATTGAATTATAGACTAGTTCTGAAGTAGATGCGTAAAGTTTCCATTCTCTTTTTTGAGTACGCAAGTGTAGTTTTCTTTATAATAATAGTAATATAATCTTTATTGCACACATACAGACAGAAAATCAGAACGAAATTACACGGTAAAACAATACAGAGTACACAAAAGGCGGCCTTATCGCTAAACAGCGATCTCTTCCAGGCAGCCTATATTATACTAGCAGTGTATAGGAAAAATATGAATCTTAAAAATAGTGCTGGTATTATATGGGTACCCGATGTGGGCACACAGTGAGCGGAAATCGCAGTCACGCGCTGTTAGTTCAACGGAAACACGGATATCCGAACCCTACCATAACACAAGTTCATCTGTCTCACTTGCTCCCATTCGAATTTTAATAGTTGACAGAAAAAGAAATATGTGAGAATAGAGGTGTTGTCACGTGTCTGTGACCCCATATTTTAGATTTGAATTAATATCTACAACCTATCTATTCAGTATTCATTAATTAACATATTCTAACGATGTTTCATTTCACATCTAAGTATCTATAATGAGCATAACTCATTTCTTTGCAAGTTAATATTTAGTAAATTTAAAGATATTTTAATGATATTATGTGAGTTTTCCCATTAAAAACTGCAAAGTGCGTTGGTCTAATTAGTAGTGCAAAGAGATTGTTTGTTTCAGCACGATAATTTTTTTTATTAAACTGTTTTCATAATATCTAAAGTACCTATCAATTTTGCAACTCATTAAAATAAACTAATCATTTATTTACTGTATCATATGTTGGTTTGTCAATACTTCAAAATTATAGGAAAGTTGAAAACAAATATTTGCATTATCACTAATCACTGCAATAAAATATGATGATAAATAATATGACTCGATGAAACTAATTTTATTATTTCTCTAAACTGATAGTCCAATTTCCAAAGAATATTTTGATCTTTAATTGGTTTTATATCTTCATTAATAATAAAATAGACAACATCACATTAACACCAGTTATGTAGCTAACAGTTAGTTGCACAAACGTCCATTAAGGTTTAATGACCTTTAAGCTGTTAAATCTCTTATGTTAGAAATTCGAAAAGGTACCACAAATAACCAGATCCTAGAGCGGGACAAAATAAAAATGAAGCCTTCCACGAAAATCTGCATTAGAAAAATTCGACAACGGGGTGATGAACCCTAATTCGTCACTAGAATTGGTGAAAGGTGATGATTATTGATAAATTTCATAAAACTAGGGTAGTGTTGGTATATTCAAGAAATTAAAAAGTTTTAAAAACTATTTATTATTACACTTTATCATGGTGGAGTCAATGTCCGCTAGTAAGTACTTAACAAGCTTTCCCTAGAATTTATTTTATCATACACCTGACCGCTCTCGAAATGTTTATTTATGTAATAAGTGAAAGAGAAACTGAAATATGACTCAGCACGATTATGATTATGATTGTCATATTATTTAGTTGTCTGTCAATACGGATAATGAATACTATTAAATTCTACAGTATTTTCTAAAGTCTAAAGCATAGAATTACTATTAATATGTTCAGGTTTTAAATCTGTAATCATTTACAAAACTATTCCTTTCGCATTTATGTATATACTAGCTCTTATCGCTAAATTGCATTCTTTATGATAATGTATGTGATAAATATTTTCGTCACTTTCATACAACGTTTCATGGTTACCGTAGGGCGGCTTTATCGTATTTTTGCTTTCATCATTTCTTTTAATGTTTGCTGGAAAATTGCTGATCCAAGTAGACCAAATTTGAACCTTTACATGTAACATCGAACTCGAACCACAAATGAGTCCATGCTTTATATTTGTTTATATAAACGTAACCTTTAGGTTTCATACCCTTTGTAAACTAAAGAAGAGAGAAAATGATGTGAGTGATTAACTTAAACTTTAAAGATGATCGATAGTATAGCATGAATCAGCAATACTAAAGGTTTTTCTTAACAGATTTCCATTTGTTTCCCACGTTATATGATATCGATCGTGCTTGCAAGGCTTCTGTTGACGGACACGCTACACCGCGCCGCCTTCGCTTGCTCGGCAAATTCTTGACCGAAGGCTCGGTACCGTTACTCAATAGCTTCTAAGATTATCTGCCACTAACGGGATCACCATCTCAAATGCAGTTTCAACGGTTGCATCGAATTGCAATATTATGATTTGCCTTCTATCATCTCACTTATCTTGTATGGCATTTTGTTTATTTCTTATTTATTCGTTTTTTTTTTATTTACGACGCAATAACTAAGATGTCTAAATATATGTGTGTAAAACATCTGTGGTTCACTATTCTAATATATCAAAAGAACGTTACGTTGTGTTTGACCCGTTTTTGCTTTAATAAAACGTACAGTGACTGTGACAGATCTGCCATTACGATCTTATAAATTTTAATGCTGGTATGATCATTACAATGTAAACGGTAATATTACATCGGTGTCTGCTAAAGTATCTTAAATAGCCTTCTGCAACTATTTATACAGTTTAGAACCGTTTTTTCTCGTTTGCTTGTGTAACCTCAAAAGTTGACGGAGAAACATCACACTCTAGTTACTTCTGCCATTTAACAACTTGACCCGGGCGGTGCATTTCGTAAATAATAATCTCCAAGCCAAAACAAAGTTGAAATTTTTTAGGCACAGCATTATTGGAAATGAATTGTAACCAAAATTTCTCACAGAAGGTGATCAAATTTGTATGTTAATAGCATTTGTGGGTTTGTTTATTTATCGTTGCAAATGAGTACAATTCATTTTCATAGCTTACTCAGTTTGTCCTCGTATATTCTCGTTGTTGTTTCAGTCAAGGGGGGCTGATTGATATGGCCCTGTGAGCCCCGGAGATGATTTATTCGTTAACCTGCTTGTATTGATACGGTTTGACCTCATTGATACTGACATTTGCTATTGCCAATTGTCTGTAATGTCTCATCGGTAAATAATATTATGATCACTTCTTGTATTGTTAATTCGAGTTTCTTTTTATTTAACTTAACGTATTCTAGGTTACCGGCGGCTTGGCCCAAGTGGTTCCCAGGGAACCTTTAGTGTGATTATAAGTAGCCTATATATTAATTCAGGCTCAATTTTCCGTATACCAAATTGTATCAAAATCCAATCAGTACTATTTGCGTGAAGGAGTAACAAATACACATACATACTTATAATATTAGTAAGACATTGGGATATAAAGTGCGATATTGAAAAAAATCGGGGAATTATGTGTTTTTTAGATTATATATATATATATAATCCCAGAATTTTATACCATAAAATGTAAGGGGCTGGAATAAACTGAAAGCTTACATAACTATAATGCAAAGGAGATTATCTAGACGTAATGTAGACTGTTTTAATTATTATACTTAGTTTTATATCGTCAATTGATTATAGTTAAATTCGAATAAATGTCTTTTTCACGGAAATCTATTTTGTTCCGTGTCGTTGGTCGTCTGACTTGTTGTTTGCACGTATCACAGCACACCATCTTGTATCACTTACGCTACATCAGTAACAGTTCATAATTATGCAGTTTTTCCTCCTATCTCATTAAGTTTTTTCTTATCTTAAGCAACTTTCCCTGAAGTGCGATGAGTGATGACGTTAGCGTGACATTTTATCTAATGATCTTGTTAATTTTTCAATTCAATTTAAATCAAATTCAATATACTAAAATTGGAAATGTGATTTTCATAATTTTTGAAAACCTTAATTATTGATGAATTAAATAGTTATTCTGTGTTTTTCACATTTTAAGAACAAATTTGCATTAAATTTTTTGTGTTGCTATAAAACTCTCAATTCTTCAATAGCTCAAATATTGTAACTATGGATAATCCTGTAATCCAGTTTGCATTTGAATTATTCAAGGTCTCGCGCGTACAGCTGCTGCCTCGTGATAAAAACTAACGATTCCACTAACCGTCGTAAATGCTGTACTCTAAGAGAGTAATCAACGATACTATCCTATGAGTCTGTTAATGAACAACTGTTCCCTGCAATCGCTTTAATCGGAGACGAGAAACTTCAATTCAGATTAGCGGACCAAATTTAACGGTCGTCGGGAATGATTCCGTTGGTTCATACAGTAAGACCAACTGTGACCGACTTACGGCAGAAACCAGTTTGGTCAAATATGGCGATGTCGGACCTTGGCATTGAGGGAACACGATGACTAATGTAGCGCTCATTCCTCTCTTCATCTAAGTATAAATTGTTACGTAAACACAGACGCGTGACGGGAATTTTACTGTTTGTATGTAACGTAAATAATCAACGAGTGTCTGTAACCAGACACATTGTTTTAATTGTCGGCTTCACAGACATCGTTTAACTATTAGTCAACTTTTATTTTGTTCATTTTTAGATGAACACTTATAGTGAATTTCCATATTGATGAGCTTCGGAAATATTTTTAAAAGTTATTTCTTCTGTGATTACTCAAATGTTACGATTGCTCTTGAGTTTACTAAGTTATTACTAGAACTGGTTCTGGCAGGTGTTTGTTACCTGTGCTACCTACACTG